GAGTTTGAGTTCTTCCTCTTGGAAGAAGGGGTTAGTTCTTGTGAGAATGTGTTGTTATAAAAGGGAGAGCTACCCATAGCTCTCTTTAACTAGGCTGCTCCTGTCATCTTTGTTTCTGTCGGTCATTGTAGGCCAACCTGATGCCAGGCCTATGCCTTTGAGCTTCCTAGCCACTGGAATTGTGAGTCAATGAACCTCTATTTCTTTATAAATGATCCAGTCTTATGTATTTCTGTTAGCAGTGCAATAACAGACTAGATAGACATGTATCCTGAATACATACACATAGTCATATGAATATATATTCATATATATTTATGTATATATGCACACATATATATATATGTATATATAAACTATATATACCCTATGTGTGTGTGTGTGTATACTCTAAACCAATAATAGAAAAGACAGTTCTATAAAAAGAGGTAGAAGAGTTGACACTTCATAAGGAAAGATACACAAATATCCAATAAACCTTTGAAGAAGTACTTGACATTATTTTTTTTAAAGAATTATTTTATTTAACTTTATTTATTTATTTATTTTAATTTGACCAGAGAGAGAGAGAAAGCAAGCCTCCATGTCCGGGATTTGAACTGCAGTTGGCCATGTGGAGTCTAGTGCCCTTAACTACCTCACCACCTGCTGGCTCCAGTACTTGACATTATTAATCATCAGAGAAATGAAAATTAAAACCTCAGTGAATTACTACTACATACGCTACAGAATGGTTAAAATTAAAAAGACCTGTCCCACCAGTACTAGCAAGGATGTGAAGTAATTTGAGCCCTAATTTATTGTTGGGGTAGTGTAAAATGTTACAACCACTTCAGAAACTGTTTAGCATTTTCTAATTAAATTAAATCTATAGGGCCAGCAGGTATTGAGTAGGTTAAGGTGCTGGATCCCACATGGCCAACTCTACTTTTCAAGTCCCAGACCTGATGGCTTGAAAATCACACAGGCCTGTGTGTGTGCATGCCCAAAATCCTAAGGGGAGAATGGAGGAGAAGGGACTGTGATGTGGTCATCCCCCCAGATTTCTCCATCTCTCTCTGGTGAGTGCATGCACCCTAAAGCAAAAATAACTAAACATTTATCCCGTGACTCAATAGGTATTAACCAGCAGAAAGTAAAAGATACATCTATAAAAAGACTTGTAAAATAATGTAAATACTAATTTTATTCCTGATAGCCCCCACATGGAAAGAATTAATAAATTATGTAAAATAAATCAGCAGAATACTGATCAGCCCATGGTATGGTAGTTAAGGTGACTAGGTCCCATGTGGCTGACTGCACAGTTTGAATCCTGGACCCAGAAGCTTGCAAAACACCTAAGGCACATGGGTATGCATTCCCAGAATCCCGAAAGGTGGGTGAGATGGAGGAGGAGGGGTTGCGGCATGAACATACCCATGGGGTGTACTTCCTCTCTTTCCTCTTTCTCTCAGTCTCCTCAAGCACACATGCCCTCTGGCAAATTGGGGGAAGGGAGGAGGAATGAATGACAGATCACACTTTAACAGACATGAATCTAAAAAACATTAAAATGAGCAAAAAGAAGCTAGACAAAAATGTACATACAGTGCACAAAATTCCATTTATGTGGAGTTCTGGAACAGAAAGATATAGTCTGTGGTGCTAGAATAAGAACAAGGGTATGTGGCCCTAAAGGGGGCTGCTCCCTTGCCCAACACACACTGTTCTTTCATGGGGAGACCTGGTGCTAACCCATCTGTAGACAACTTGTTTTTGGATTGGAGTTTTTGTAGAAAGCAGAGTAGCTCCTTCACTGTGATCTATTTAGAGTCAACCCTCAGCACAAGGGCTTGTAAACAACAACAAAAGGAACTTTAAAAAAAGAACAAAGGGGGACCAGCAGTTAGCGTAATGTCTATGTCGCTGGACTCCCACGTAGTCGACCGTGGTTCGAGTTCCAGACCCAGTGGCTTAAACTCACGCCAGGCGCGTGTGCATGCGTGCCCAAGATCCCAAGAGGAGAATGGAGGAGAAGGGATTGCGGCGTGGCCATCCCCCTGGGAGGGGATTTCTCACTTTTTGTCTGTCTCTCTCTGTCTTTCTGGCAAGTGCACACACCCTATAGTAAAAACCTCTCCAAAAAAAAGAAAAAGAAAAAAAGCAATGGTTACTGGTGGCCAGGAGTGTCCAGGATTGGGAAGAGGTACCCAAGCACTTTCTGGGATGTTAGAATATTTGTATATCTTGATAGGAATATGCGTATATTTCTCAAAACTCACTTAGGCATTACACTCTGTAAATTAATCATTAAGAATTTTTAGGGACCAGCAGATAGTCTAATGGCTATGTCACTGGACTCGCACATAGTTGACCGCAGTTTAAGTCCCAGACCCAGTGGCTTAAAACTCATGCCAGGTGAGTGTGTGTGCGAACCCCAAATCACGAGAGAATGGAGGAAAGGAATTGCGACATGACCATCCCCACCCCCGGAGGTGATTTCTCGCTTTCTGTTTCTCTGTCTCTCTGGCGAGTGTGTGGCGCTTTCTGTTTCTCTGTCTCTCAGGCGAGTGTGTGGGCACTATAGAAAAAAATCTCTCAAAAAAAAAAAAAAAAAGTTAAATATTTCCTTCTTCTCACCAAAAAAAAAACAAAAACAAAAAAGTTCAAGAACCAGACCAAAAAAAAAAAAAAAAAGTTAAATATTTCCTTCCTCTCACCAAAAAAAAAAAAAAGTTCAAAACCAGACAGCTTTGGTTCAAATCCTGATTCTGCCATTTGCAAACCATGTTGCCTTGCTCAAATTCCTTAACCTCCCTGTGTTTCCTGTATTTTAGTTTTGTCATCTATAAAAGGGGATAATAATAGTTTCTGATCTCAGGTTGTTATGGAGATTAAATGAGTAAATACATGGAAGTGTTTCAAACAGCTCCTGGCACATAACAATAATAATGACACTGATCATGAAGAAAACATTTTGTTTTAGAATTAGTTGTGTTCTAGTTCTTTGAAAGTCAGTGAGGTAATTGTAGTGTCCTGAAGAATTATCTATCAAGAGAGTCTATGTCACACCAACCTGTATACTTGATTTGGTCATTTTGGCAGAAATTTTTAAAAATGAATAATATCTTTTGGGGCAGTCGGCAGGGATGTGACTTTGTAAGTCACTTCATTTCTCTGGGCTCTCTCCTCACCGCCAAAATAAAATAAGGAGGCTGTATTAGATGAGTGATTCTTACTGCTTGTTCCCTTAAGGATCTGATGAAAGCTTTAACTCTGAAAAATACTCGTAATGCACACACACATACACACACACATACACGGCATTTGTACAATGTAATGGGTATGAATTGCTCGTAACCATTAGAAAGTAACACATGTCTGTGGTATTTTATTTTTGTCTTGGTTTTAACTTTTTAAATAGAAATGAATCTGGTAGATTTCTTTTTTTTAACCAAGATTAAGGAGAAATCGAGTATGACCCAGTCTGGATTGGCTCCTTTATTTTTGAAAGCTTTTTTTTCCCTTTATTTATAATAAGGTGCATGCATGCACATGTGAGAGCACATGCACGTGAAAGAGAAAGGAGCACCAGCCAAAGATTTTGGTCATAATTGGCGGGGGGGGGAAGCACCCTCCACAGGATCCGAGCACAATCCCCTTCTTCCAGCCTCCAGCCAACAGATCCTGAGCACCTGAATGTGTGCCTGGCATGTTTTAGACTGACCAAGCCAGGGATTCAAACTGCAATTGCAATGAGGGAATCCAGCTTCTCTTGAGCAGCGTGTTACCTCTGCATCACAGGACTGGCCCTCTTTCTCATCTTTTGATCTTACAAAAACCATGGACCCTTATGTGAACTTTGAAAATAGGACTGATCTTTCTTATGCTTAGCCTTGGATTCTCACATTTGCCTCTATATACTCCCACGAGCTAAGTAAGCTTGTGGTAGGTAACCTATTGTCTACCTTTGCTTTTAGCCTAGGCCCTCAGGTTCCATTCGTAGTAGGTGGTTGAATTAAACTTCCCTTTGCTCTTCTTGGATTCAGCCACAAGGACCTGCTCTAAGACTCAGAAGGTTGCTGCCATCAGCACCCAGAACTTTAGGAAACCCACACCCTTCTTCTCCCTTTCCAAGGCCCTGCCATGACCTGGCTTAGGTTTTCACTCACCCGGTACCACCTGCAATCTTTCTATTCCTAGTCCTCAGGGATCCAGGGAACTGACTTGTTTCTTCCTCAGCTTCTAAGTATTTGCTTCCAGTCTCTCTCCTCATTTATACAAGCCAATTTAGTTTTGCCATGGGCCTCCGTCTTTGAAGACAAAACTAGCCTAAAAATTCTCCCTTTTGTCCTAAAACACACAAGACTTAACTTCTCACTAAGTTAAGAAATGCTCAGGCTTAAAGACAACAAGGCCTGGAGACATCTAGAAAGTTAGGACGTACCTTGTATTATTATATGATCTGTGATCTCAGAGATCACTTCTGGCTATGATTTTCCTGTCAGTCATAAGGAAGCTATAAGCTCACACCAGAAGGGGAAGTCTCAAAAAAGCAATCAGTGTAGAACAGTGAAGAAGACAAGGGGAAGTGAAAACCCTGGCTGAAATGTAAACTATAAATGGAGTAGCTTGGGTCTGACTTAGTGGGGAAGAAAACTTTTGAAGAGGAAGATAAAAACCAAGAATTGTGCTTCATTACAATGAACTTCCATGTCTGGCTGTGATTGCAGTCTGCTTAAATATACTATAAATGAGCAGAATGTGCTGTTTTTAGTGTGGGATGTGTAATGTGATTACTTGGCCGAATTAAGGCTGTGAATCCAAAGGGTAATCCAGGTCATTGTATGAGACACCGCTTTTATGATGGATTCATGTGTACAGATAAGGATTCTGTCCAAACAGAGCTTCTTCATTGTCTAGAAAATCAGAAGCCTTAGGGAGAATTGCAATTATCTCTGTAACTTGTCACATCAGTGTAACATCAAATTCTTTTTATTTTTTTTCTCTGTTGACAGAATAACACCGATGGACTTCATGAACTTGCCTGTGGAGGCTTAATTTATTGCTTGGGAGTTGTGTTCTTCAAGAGTGATGGCATCATTCCATTTGCCCATGCCATCTGGCACCTGTTTGTGGCCACGGCAGCTGCAGTGCATTACTATGCCATTTGGAAATACCTTTACCGAAGTCCTACAGACTTTATGCGACATTTATGACAGATCTGTACTAAGTCTCCAAACCAGTATTATTCAGTTATAGCACTTGGGAGTGGGATAAGAGCTGAAAATTGCACAAGGGGGAAAAAAAGAAGACAACTGCACTGACTTTCTTCTTATCTTTTGAATATAATTGCTGTGAAAGTGTAAGAGCTGTGTTCTGGAATATCCCCCCGCCCCCCACAGCAAACAATTAAGGTTGTGAATTAATTATCCATTCCATTCCACTATCATGAAGGACTCTGGATAAAACTTGGCCAATTGATGTTTACAAACCAGGATTTTGTATTTTAATTTTACAGATTTTACTACATAATTTTTCTAAATTACTAGGTCAGGTTGTAAAAGTCAGTGCAATCGCAAATCTTCCTTTTTAAGAAAAAAAATGGTTTCTATCACTTTCCCATCCACTGTATAAAGAATCATGGACTTACACTACTTTTACCATGTTTCATCTTGGCATAACATGGTCATTTTTTAAATGGAAACTTTAGTTTTTTGTAAATTTTTAAAAAAAATATTTCATCAAAGTGCATATCTGTGGTTCCTCATTCCTGTTGTGAACTTTTGCAGCAAGCAGTCAACATTCCACAAGTGAGCAAACATTATACCTCTTTGGATAGTTGTATTAAGTGGGGAAATTGCCAATTTTTAAAAACTGAAGTTTTCCAAACTTTTCTGCCAACTTCTGACTCTGAATTCAATGCTGCTTTGGGCCATATACTTGACCTAGTTTGGTTTACCAGTGATGGAAACGTATTTTGATACTAACTTTTTCAAAAGATCCAACTTTTCTCTATGCCTTTGCCATGTTTTCTTCAGGGCCTTTGTCAACAGATGAGTGTTCTATCTGGAGTAGGATAGTATTGTTAGGTTGATCATCTGCTGAACACTCCTGAAGAACAGTATGAATTACAGTGAATAAGTTGTATTGCCTGTTTAGTGCCCAACGGTTAAGTCATTGTCACTTAGCTTTATATTATCAGTTTGATAGACATTTTAATTGCGGAAATAGATACATAAACTCACATTCTTACCTTTCCTCTGCATCTCCCAATATACTGTTGTTGTTTTGTTTGTTTTTGTTTTGTTTTGTTTTCATAGAGAAATATTTAAAGCATTGTTTGACAGATAGGAACTCATGTGTGTAGTCCATGGGTTATATCCTGGCTCAGTTGAGTGGTATTTTTGTATGATTTTTTTGTTTGTTTTAGTGTCTTATATTAAGATTAAAATATTAATTGCTTTGTTGTTTAATCTTTCTGGTTGGTGGTTTAATAAATGAAATAATCTTGCCCTTAGATCAGGTGCCAATATTGCCCTTTTGCTTGTAATGGGCTTGATCAATGAAATTGTTGGTTTGACCACAGGAATATTTGAAATTTTGTACTGATGTGGCTTTAAAAGAAGGTTTACTTTATGTGTGTATGTCTAGAACTCTGATTTTGGTGAGTTACATGACAATGGGGAACATATGAACTGGTATTTGCTAGTGAATTCTCAAGTAGGCAAGGCACCCAATGGTAACACCCACCATGCCACCCCTATCTGCATGATTCTAAACATCTGGATGCCTGTTGTTTTACTCTGTATATTTAATTTTTAATATATTAGCTTTTTGTGGATTCATTTGAAGTCTGCTCAAAAGTAACACTGTTGAAACCACTAAAGTGTATGTAAAAATTGTGCTGTAGACTAGAATAAAATTGTTACTTGGATTTGTTCCACTGACTCTAAATTAGATGACTGTGAAAATAATAATGTGTACCTAAGAGATTGAGCTCATCTAGCATTTATATGCTTTATATACTAGTCCTTTTTTATTTCTTAAAATCATAATGGAAAGAAAAACAAACATGCCCTGTCAATTAGAACTTTCCTAGTCTGCTTTTTTGCTTTTTTTTTTTCTTCCCTTTATGCCATAGAGCACATACTGATGAGAGGAAGAGAGAGAAAGAGAAAATGCCTAAGAACTCTCCACGGGTTCTGATCACTCCTTTATTTTTTTCCAATTCTCCATACACAGGCACACATGCATGCACACAGCATGTTGCCACTGGGCTGAGACTGAAACCCTGGTTGGCCTAATGGGATTCCAGCTTCCTCTGCACAAGAGCCAACTCAAACATTGAGCACCCATTTTCAGTTTAAAGTGTGCTAGTCAGGGCCTAAAGATTGCGGTTTGTAGGTAATGTCTCTTATCAAGAGAAGCCTTTTGATTTAGCTTATATAATATACTCTGACTGAAGTTGCAGACTTTTATATTACCAACCAGACAGTCATCATATTATAAACCTCACAACTCAAATGAATGTTAAAGGTCATTCTCTCTCTTCTGCAGTGCAGGAAAGAGGGTCAGAGAGGTGTAACTGCTTCATCTTTAAGTAGAGAACTGAGACTGGAACCCAACTCTGCAATTCCAGAGTCTCCCATTCACCACATACCACTGTATTTCCAGACTCAGCAAAAGCAATAAAAACAACTTGAATTGAGTATTTGTCAGACATGGACACAGAAAAGAAAACACTATTCACACAGTTTCCAGCTTCAACAAACCCTCAGGCATCACTCTGTCAGATCTAATTTTGAGCAGCAGTGTCTTGGAGCGTTATTATTCCCGTGAATTCTGTCTTCTAGTTCACCAGCATAACCTTATCCATTTCTAGAGTATCCCTCTACTGTGCTGTCACCTTGCTGATCAATTTCTCTAGTCTAAAACTTTTCTAAGGAATAGACTTCTCTAATTAATTGTCTAAATGTTCCTAGGCTGATTTTACTCAGTCTGTCCCAAACTGAGTTGAATATCTTTCCTCATTGCCCTCCAAGTCCATTTCTCTGAAATTTCCTATGTTAGTTATTGACATAGCCATTCACATGGCCAATCAGAGCTGTTACCTTCTCCCTAGCCACAATTCTTCGACCTGGTTCCTCTTCTCCCTTTCCATTGCAAGGCCCTGGAAAACCCTAGTTAGCATTCCTCAGACTACTGCAGCCACCTCCTCATTTGTATCTCTGCCACCCGTTATACCCCTCAACTAAGCTCATCCTGCACACTGCTACCAGTGTTATCTTCTCAAAATAAAACCTGAACATGTGTCTCCCCTGCTTTAAAACTTCTTTTGACTATTATCCTGTAAGACCAATGCCAAATGCCTCAGCATGCTATCTTCTCTTCCCTCTCTTTAAACATACCGTAGTCAATACTAGCCTTGCTGGTGAATTTCACAGCTTTCTCCTTCTATTAATTGCCTTTTTTTTCCCAGAGAGGTTTTTGCTATAGGGCACATGTGCTCACCAGAAAGACAGAGACAGACAGAAAGCAAGTCATTCCCCCCGAGGGAGGATGGCCACGCCACAATCCCTTCTCCTCCAAAACTCACACGCCCAGCGTGAGTTTTAAGCCACTGGGTCCAGGACGCGAACTGCGGTTGACTACATGGGAGTCCAGCGACGGCCACTACGCTAACTGCTGGTCCCTTAATTGCCTTTCTAATTACTTTTGTACCTGCTGTTTCTCTGCTTGGAATGCCCTTAACCCATTCCCTCTCAGCAGTTAAACGTTTGTTTTTGTTCCACCCCTCCATCAGATGCCCCCTACCTCCTCTGAGCTATTGACCCAGACTCCTTGCACAGTTAGCAGTGCCCTTGAGGCTCTCTAACTCCAGTGTTGATACTCCTCCCTGGAAAGAGAGACAGAAAGTGAGAAATCACTCCCCAGGAGGATGGTTGCACCACAATCCCTCCCGGCATGAGTTTAAGCCACCGGGTCCGGGACTCAAACCACAGTCTAAGTGGGAGTCCAGTGACATAGCCATTACGCCAACTGCTGGTCCTGGACTGAACTCTTTCAAGGCAAGAAGGAGTCTCCACTCCTGTTCCTAGCGTCTAGCATAACATTGTCATGGGAGGAGAAAAGACAGTTTGTTGAATGAAAGGAGAGAGGGAGGGATGTTTGAGGGTCGTGGTGTGAAGGAGAGACAGAATAAAGCATGTTTTAGGACAGACTTCGTTTTTCTGCAGGTTCATCTTGACCATCATTCACACTGAACTGAGCTTATACTGACTAGAATCTTGACTTTCAGTTGCCTTAGCTCCCCTGGTGGAGGGTGAGCTAGAACCACAGGAAAGTGATGAGAAACTGGACTGTAAATATTAGACAGTGAGTCTAAAGGAAAAGTCAAGCTCATTTTTTGAACCTTCCATAGAACCACCTATCAACAACTGACAAGACTGCAATATGATGTTGCCTACCCTACTTCCCTCTGGTCTTCTTTTCTGACCATAATAATAAAATAAATGTGCACAACATTCACTTCTGCAGCCTTTGAGCTTCAGTGCAAATCTAGTCCAAAAGCAACAACTTAAAAATAATTTTTAATATTATTTCATATGTTTTTACCCAAAGCATCATGCAACTATATTAAGCACTTTGGAAAACTAAAAATGACTCATCTTAATAGATTTTTATGCATTTCTTCTCAGCCATTCTTTCTCTGTTTATAGGGTTTTGTTTTTGTTTGAGATAGCTGTAAATATGCTATATATAACATATATATATAAAAT